CGTTTTCTGGCTTTGCACGGTTCGCTGAAGGGTGAACCGACCGACGCGGCCAGGCTCGTTCGCACAGGATGTGCAGCTTCAGGGAAGTTAACCGAGGCTCACCCAAGTGAGCTTTGGACACTCTGAAATGCAGCCGCTGCATCTGTAACCCAAGAAAGCCTCAATTTACAGTGGTCAAAGGGGTTGCAGCTCAGCAGGAGAGGCGTGTTCTGCAGACCCAGCTCTCTCCTCCTCCTCCTCCAGCCCCCCTCCTGGCCACCCTTATTGGACCTTCTCTCTTCCCACACAGCAACTGGAGCCGCAAACTCTTGTCCCTCCGGTTGGCTCACCTACAATAAATCGTGCTACAAGATCTTCCTGAAAGCCAAGACCTGGAACGATGCAGAGGTGAGGAGCGCTGTGTGCCCGTGACCATGCCAGCCCGGGCAGAGGAGGATCTAGGCAGAGCCCTGGCCCAGCACCCACATCCACTCTTGTGGGCTGAAGACCTTTCAAGGGGGCCCTGGAGGGCCACCAGGCTGGGTGCACGAGGAGACAGCAGAGACCGAGATTTTAGGATAGTCCCAATGCAAGTATTCCACGGACTCTTCCTCGCAGCCCATTTAAAGCACTCTCCTCCGCTCAGTGGGGACTCCATAGACTTCCTCCGTAGACTGACTGACTTACCGCGCAGGGGTAGTGGGGCCGTTGAGTCCACTGGCCCATTCGCTGATCCTGAGTTCAGTCTGGAGTCTTAGTTGTGGGGGAAAATATTTTAACTCGCGAATCGACGTCAGGAATTGCTCAAGAGCCGCATTGACCAGCGAGGGCGTCTGCGGGAGGTCAACAAAGTCAAGATGGTGGCTATGATCTTGCGATCAGACGCCTGCTCTTTTCTCACGTGCACAAACACACACGCATGTTTCTTCTCCGCTGAACAAGCGCCTTTCTCTGTTGTCCCTCTTCCAGAAGTTCTGCAGGGCCCAGAAGACGGGCTGCCACCTGGCCTCCATCCATGACGCGGCAGAGTTCAACAGGTTGGCCTGGTATGTCTACTGGTATCTCATCTTTGAAAACATCTGGATCGGACTGA